GGCTGTGGTTGCGGCGGAGCTGCGGCGGAGGAGAGAAGAGCAGTTGCAGGTTTGCGGCGATGCGAGGAGGCTGGTCTAGCTGCACCGTCCCCGGCACCCGCCTGCGTGATCCTGACACCTCTGAAATAAAAGTGTGTAGTGTTTGCGTGAGCGTTTCCTTCGGGAAAAGTATTAGACTGATTTTAGGGGACGTGAGGCGACCTCTGAGGCACTTCGGACCTTTCTGAGGATTCTTGCAGGTCTACATTTTTTGCAGTTTTTTTCCTCAGTGTATTTATTTTTATGTAGTGGAAATAATTGTGAAACTAGCTTTTTTTAATTAAAATTTTGTTAACATATTGTTACTGTTTTTATAACAATGCTAACAGTATTTAAGTAGTTATGTATTATACCTTTAATCTAGACTTAAAAAATGACAGCTCTAATAATAGTTATGCTTGTTTTGCAATGGAGACAGATTGATCAGCTCAAGGTAAATATAAGAACTTTTTTAAATCAGTGACTTTCCTTATTCCTTTCGCTCTCCTTTAGGACTCATGCTTTTCTAGAGACTCAACTCACAGAGTTAGAGAAACTTCTTTCTGTTCCTCCTTCCCATTTCTGTGGTGTTCTGAGGTGTGAGCGCCTGGAGGTAGCATTCCTAAAGCTTCGTACTCCACACCGCATGTACCCTGCTCTGTCCCCCAATCTATCCATACTGCTTTGAATCATACTTTTCTCTCAGGGTAAACAAGGATAACAAATAGCTAACAGAAATTGAAGGCTGCGTGCAGTCATCGTTTCATATATTTAGTGCATTAATCCTCACATAATCCCATGAGATAAACTAGCATTATTATCCTCCATTATAGGTGAGAAAGATGAGGCACAAAGCAATTGAAACACTCTCCCAGTGTCAACCAGTAGAAGCCTGGATCCAAACCAGGCAACCTAACTCCAGAAATCACACTGTAATTAATATACTATATGCTTTGCAAAGATTTTCAAACACTTCAACTCCATAATAAATAGCAGTTTCAAGCTATGAAAAAAAAACAAACACAATTTTCCTCAACATCTCTCAAATCTAATAGGTCCCTGCTGTAAGGATTAAATTCAAGGCTCATGACACTACACTGTTGGCCACATGGACAGCTTTGCTGGAGGCCTGGCTGAGACCGAGCCTGGATTTGGAGAGAGGCAGAAGGACAGCAAAACAACGAGATTTACTCTGTCTTCCTCACTTATTCCCTCTATCTTTTCCTCCTAGTTGAGCCTAAGGTGACCGTGTATCCTACAAAGACTCAGCCCCTGCAGCACCACAACCTCCTGGTCTGCTCTGTGAATGGTTTCTATCCAGGCAACATTGAAGTCAAGTGGCTCCGGAATGGCCAGGAAGAGGAGGCTGCGGTGGTCTCCTCCACAGGCCTGATCCGGAATGGAGACTGGACCTTCCAGACCCTGGTGATGCTTGAAATAGTTCCTCAGAGTGGAGAGGTTTACACCTGCCAAGTGGAACACCCAAGCCTCATGAGCCCTCTCACGGTGGAATGGAGTGAGCAGCTTTCTAACCTCATACATTTCTCTCCCACCAAGAAGGGGACTTTGCTTATCCCTGAGTGTCAGGTTTCTCCTCTCCCACATCATATTTTCATTTGCTCCGTGTTTCCTCTCCTTCAGCACAGGTCACTGGGGTAGCCCTGTGGTA